GCTAAAACTGATCCTAAATCCACAATTCTGGTGGTAAAACCGATCCTAAATCCACAATTCTGGGGCTAAAACTGATCCTAAATCCACAATTCCGCTGCCAAAACCAATCCTAAATAACACAAAAACCCAATCCAACCGATCCCAAACAGGGTTAAAACTGATCCTAAATCTGCAATTCTACCACTAAAACCGATCCTAAATCCGTAATTCTGCTGCTAAAACTGATCCTAAATAGGGTTAAAACCGATCCTAAATCCACAATTCCGCTGCTAAAACCGATCCTAACTGCTAAAACCGATCCTAAATCTGTAATTCTGCTGCCAAAACCAATCCTAAATAGGGTTAAAACCGATCCTAAATCCACAATTCCGCTGCTAAAACCGCTCCTAACTGCTAAAACCGCTCCTAAATCCCCAACTCCGCCCCAAACATTTTCCCGCCTCATCTTAAACTCCCGGAATTTGGGCTGAGAGATCCCGAGGATCCCGGGCAGAAATTCCCAAGATTTTGGTGATGAAATTTTGGGAATTTCGGATGAGAATTCCCGTAATTTTGGTCACGAAACCTTGGGAATGTCAGATAAAAATTCCGTGGAATTTTAATCAAAAACTCCGGGAATTTCAGCCAGAAAATCAGGATGAGAACCCCGAGGATTTTGGGGATCCCAAGGATTTGGGGACATCAATCCTAAGGATTTGGGGACATCGATCCCAGGGATTTGGGGACACTGATCCCAAGATTTGGGGACACTGATCCCAAGATTTGGGGACAATAATCCTAACGATTTGGGGACATCGATCCCAGGATTTTGGGACATCGATCCCAGGATTTGGGGACATCAATCCCAGGGATTTGGGGACATCGATCCCTGGATTTGGGGACATCAATCCCAAGATTTGGGGACATCAATCCTAAGGATTTGGGGACATCGATCCCAGGGATTTGGGGACATCGATCCCAGGGATTTGGGGACATCAATCCCAAGATTTGGGGACATCAATCCTAAGGATTTGGGGACATCGATCCCAGGATTTGGGGACATCGATCCCAGGATTTGGGGACATCAACCCCAGGATTTGGGGACATCGATCCCAGGATTTGGGGACATCGATCCCAGGGATTTGGGGACATCGATCCCAGGATTTGGGGACATCAACCCCAGGATTTGGGGACATCGATCCCAGGATTTGGGGACATCGATCCCGGGATTGGGGGACATCAACCCCAGGATTTGGGGACATCGATCCCAGGATTTGGGGACATCGATCCCAGGGATTTGGGGACATCGATCCCAGGATTTGGGGACATCGATCCCAGGATTTGGGGACATCAATCCCTGGATTTGGGGACATCGACCCCCAGGGATTTGGGGACACCGATCCCAGGGATTTGGGGACATCGATCCCTGGATTTGGGGACACTAATCCTAAGGATTTGGGGACATCGATCCCAGGATTTGGGGACAATAATCCTAAGGATTTGGGGACATCAATCCCAGGGATTTGGGGACATTGATCCCAGGATTTGGGGACACCGATCCCAGGATTTGGGGACATCGATCCCAGGGATTTGGGGACACTGATCCCAAGATTTGGGGACACTGATCCCAAGATTTGGGGACAATAATCCTAACGATTTGGGGACATCGATCCCAGGATTTTGGGACATCGATCCCAGGATTTGGGGACATCAATCCCAGGGATTTGGGGACATCAATCTTAAGGATTTGGGGACATCAACCCCAGGATTTGGGGACATCGATCCCAGGATTTGGGGACATCGATCCCAGGATTTGGGGACATCAATCCCAGGGATTTGGGGACATCGATCCCAGGGATTTGGGGACATCAATCCCAGGATTTGGGGACATTGATCCCAGGGATTTGGGGACATCGATCCCAGGATTTGGGGACACCACCCCAAGGATTTGGGGACATCGATCTCAGGGATTTGGGGACATCGATCCCTGGGATTTGGGGACATCGATCCCAGGCATTTGGGGACACCACCCCAAGGTTTTGGGGACACCGATCCCTGGGATTTGGGGACATCGATCCCAGGGATTTGGGGACACCTATCCCAGGGATTTGGGGACACCTATCCCAGGGATTTGGGGACATCGATCCCAGGATTTGGGGACACCGATCCCAGGGTTTGGGGACATCAATCCCAGGGATTTGGGGACACCCTTTTTCCCAGAGCTGACCCCTGGGTGACCCCAGGACTGTCCCCAAGGACACGACCCCGGTGACAAGGACGGGGTGACCCCGGTGACACGGTGAGAGCTTGTGGGGTCCCCATGTCACTGTCACAGTTTGGGGTCCCAATGTCACTGTCACAGCACAGGGTGACACTGTCACAGACTGAGGGTGACCCTGCCACAATTTGGGGTCCCAATGCCATTGTCACAGACTGAGACCCAGCATGGGGGTCCCAATGTCACTGTCACAGCACAGGGTGACACCGTCACAGTTTGGGGGTGACCCTGCCACAATTTGGAGTCCCAATGTCCCCGTCACAGCCTGGGGGTGACACTGGCCCAGCCTGGGGGTGACACTTCCACAGTTTGGGGTCCCAATGTCATTGTTACAGCCTGACGGTGACACTGTCACAATTTGGGGGTGACACTGCCACAATCTGGGGTCCCGATGTCATTGTCACAGCCTGGGGGTGACACTGCCACAGTTTGGGCTCCAATTGTCACTGTCACGGTGTGGGGGTGACACAAGCCCAGCACAGGGGTCCCACGGTGACACTGCCACAATGTCGGGGTCACAATGTCACTGTCACAGCCTAGAAATGGCACTGCCACAATTTGGGGGTGACACTGCCACAATCTGGGGTCCCAATGTCATTGTCACAGCCTGGGGGTGACACTGCCACAGTTTGGGGTCCGATTGTCACTGTCACGATGTGGGGGTGACACAAGCCCAGCACAGGGGTCCCATGGTGACACTGCCA